GAGTAGGTGGTTGTTGCGCCGGCAGGCACAACTGGGTGGACCACGACAGCAAGTCAGCAGTAGAGCACCCAGCCAACTCGACACAGGCTTCCAGCCGCTGTACAGCTGAACTGGAAGGACACTGCGCTTTCAAGCTTGGGAAGTGCCGGAATAGGTAAGCAGTGAGCGTGTCTATGACACGTTCGTTGATGTTGAATGCCCGGTTGTCAAGGTCATAGCACGACGCGAACAATCGTTGCTGGACATCGCCGACCCTCTACAACGTGCCAGCATCCATGGATTCAATCGCCAAAAGGGGTACGTGCTCCGTTGTAGAGTGGCCACTGAGGAATTTCGCAACCTTGTGGTCTTCGCTTGACGTATTGAAGACGTAGTTGAAGCCCTTGTTCGTAGCTGTAATGTTCCAAGCCCCAGGATCAAAGATCCAACGCGCAGTCAAGAATTCACAGCCATTTGCATGCTGAGCCCCGCCGCGACGGAACGAGTGGGACGACAGCTTTTCGTCCACGCCAGCCACGGTAGAAACACGATCCAGAATTCGATTCACATGGCTGTGAATCGTAGGAGCGCTCTTCTTGGATGTAAATTCTTCAGCGTCTTCACGGACAGTCGCCGGGTGGTCAAGCACCTCTATGAGAGGTGTCTCGGGGCCAAGGTCAGAGGTAAGGATGGACTGCTGGACGGGTAGGTTGCTAACAATGGCAGCACCAGGAGCTCATTGCGAGATTGTCGCCAATTCGATTGCCAGAATAGGACAGGTAAGGAAGTCGGAATCTGGAAACAACGAAAGGCTTTGAACCTCGTTTGTCTTGACTCGTACAAAACGCAAGAAAAAGACTCCACCGGCGTCGATCGACAGAATAGACTTCGTCACCATGGTAATGTCGGAGGCCCGACCAAGCAAGTACCAGAGCAACGTGACAAGCGCCGCGTCTTGTAGATCAGAGCCAGATCAGAGCCAGTGCATGCATGCTTGTATATGTGTTGGACCATACGACGTAAATACACTTTTGTACACGCAATTGCTTGCTTCACTATTCCCCCGCTGTCTTTTTTGATATAGTAGTTCTGCAGTATCTTACCAGCTCGCAACAACTTTGCGTCCACGAGCGGCTGTAACTGCGGGAATTCGTCGAGCAGCGACATCTTTGCTTGCCGAAAGTACTGGATGACAGAGTTCTTCGCCAATGGCAGTCCATCTTCCTTCTCGTATCCCGCAAGATACAACGCAAACTTCTCCATCACCGCCCCGAAGCATGGCCACTTGGGTCCTTTCGAATGCTGAGCTTGACATAATCTACTTCAACTCGCTTCAATAAACCGGATGAAGGCCTTGTCACCGGATGCCCTGGCGTTCTTCGTTGCCTGGGGGCGAAGGCGATCGATGCCTATCGGTCGGACCCTCCTTGATTATCTTTGAGTTATGTTTTAATCTTGCATTTTGTATCAGCATATCCATAATGTTCGGTAACCTCCGACCAATTATTTATATGTGACCGTTTCATATGACCTGCTGTCCGGTGGGAGGCGAACCGATTCGACTATAGATGACTTTTGCACGCTCAAATGACTAATCTACCTAACCCTAAGTATTTTGATTGGTCCAAAGGTATAGTCATTGCGACAGGGTTGGATATAAAATGAAATGATGGGATTCTATTGGATAAAATATTCAATACAATTATTGAGATTGGTCGGAGGTGACCCATTATTCTACCATATGCATACCCTATCCGCACAATTTGTATGCATAAAGACATACTAGTACACAGTTAAGAGCATCCCCACCGGTGCGACTGTAAACGCTAGTATACAGTTCTATCCGTTTTGACAACCCCACCGAGCGACTGTAAAATACAGGAAACTGTAAAATTTTACCGCGAGACGGCAAATCGGCCAGATTTACAGTCGCGACTGTAAAATACAGTTTTGGCGAATTAGCCAATAACATGCTATCAATGGATAATTTTGTCCAATCATGTGTTATGGAGTCAACAATCAGTAGGTTCAGAAATGGAATCAGCCGAGGCTGTCCGTGGCTCCAACTTAACGACCGACGAAGACTGCCAGCTTGTCCGGTTATGGATCAACATCTCTCAAGATGCGTCCAAGGGTAGTACTCATCACGCATCACCACACCGTCCATGATTCGTTGAAACAGCGGTCTGGCCATTCGAAAACGACGGCGAAACTTGGCTTCGCCTTAGATTGGATTGGGGCCAAAGTAGTAAGTAAATCCGAGCATGCGCAGCCTCGCTATCTCGTGGTAGGTTTGGCTGGCGGTTGGCAATAGAGCCTTCAGGGCGCGCAGAAGACTGATGAAAGTCAAGAATCTCCCAAGCTTAATCCATGTCATCATCGTCGTCCTACCACGCCATCGCGCCAGGCGTTCATTTCTGGATTTTACCGCTGGGGTTGACAAAAATCAAAATAACGTTACACGAACTGTAAAACGGTACTTCGTAAGTATTATACAGTCTGATTATACAGTCGCACCGGTGGGGATGCCCTAAGGGCGTGTTCGGAGCGACTTTTGTGTCAGCGGTTTTTGGAAAAGTAGCCAATCAAAATCGTTTCCATCGACTTTTGCAAAAATCGCTCTGGACGACCTCCTTGAGGTCGTTTACAGCGACTTTTGGGATTGTTGCTATTTATTGGGCAAAACTATCAGAATAAATTGTTGGTTGCAAACTAAAATTTCGCAGGAGCACGCCCAAAGCACACCCTTGTCGGTTGCCGGTGGTTCGTCACTCCACTCCGGTGTGTACTGGTAGGTCCTCGACGGGAGAACTTTACCCATGTGAAGCACGGCTGTGGCAAGACATTTCCATGTCGAGGGTAGCTGCACACAGAACGCATCGAACGCTGTA